TCCAGATATGTGCTGTCTACTTTGTGAGATCTGGAGAGTATCATGAGGAGGCATTGAAGAGGAGACACCTACAGAGAGTTTGAGAATACAGATAAGGAGTGTTATGAAGTTTTAGTTCCTCATGTTCTTTGGTGACACAGAAATGCAGGATCAGATCCTGAATCCACATCAGTGTGCAAGAGACCCACTAACTGGAAAGCATATACATAGACAGAAATATTTGCCAGTGGTGACATTCATTTATGGACAAGGCATGCAGTATCCCAACAAGGTGGCAAGTATATCATCATCACGGAACGGACAGAGGGCATTTATGTTTTCTCTAGTGGTTTGGTTTCCAGGAACTTAGACACAATATCTAGAGGAGGGGAAAAGTATACAAATTGCTTGATCATACTTTTCCTCACTTCATCAATAGCATCAGATGTTCAAAGAATTTTGAAATGAGGAACAAACCTTCCCCACATTAGCTTATGAGCTATAGTACATGTTTTGACTTTACATGAAGAGCTCATTTCCTTGGCATGTATTGATACACAGATCTGATTGCTCATTGGGGAGGCTGCATGGTACATTGGAAATAGTTTCTTTATGGGTAAAATGAGGGATTTCGATACATGATCTTCAAAGACATAGCTCTGACAATGTGATTCCATTAGTATCTACTGTCCTGTTTCCAAATTAGAGGTCTGTGACTCCAGGTTAGACATGACATGAAAAGCACCTGTGTAGGAGCTTGATGGTTAGGTGGCCAATGAATATTACCTTGTCTCACATTCCCCAGGCAATAGCATTATCTGGCAAACAACCTTTGAAATTTATAGGATCCATTAGCTCTTAACCGATTATTTTCTTGTTTCCTTAAATTTCCAAGTGCAGGTCTTATTCTCCATAAACTGTGTAGTAGGTCTGTTTGTGGGTTTGTTTTTAAAGCTTTCTCATCTGTGTTGTTTTAGTTGAGATTTAAAAAAGCTCTTCTACTGTAAAGGAACAGAAGTAGCAGTTGAAAGATAGTGGGAAAGCTGTCTTTTCCTCCATAATGGCACATGAAGAGAGGTTGATAATATACTTGAAAAGGCACTTGGATTATCTGAACTTCCATATGACAATTAAGAGACACCACTTATGTAAGCCTTTCCCCTCCTACATCTAATATTATGAGTGAACTCAGCACTCTCACGTATCTCTTTAGAGACATTGGAGGAAGCTAGGGTGAATTTACAGATTAGTTTGCATTGCTCAATCCAGTAAATCCATATGATTAAACACAATATTGTGTTGATAGTTTTATCTTCTGTATTCAGTCAATGGGCATGCATTCTACACATCCAAGCGTGCAGTTCAGATTTCCTAGTATCATCAGAGCACATGTGTATGCTTCCATTAGAGGTGTGCACACTTTTATCATGACTTCTTTTGGGATAGTACTTGTTACTAACTTGGACTACTAACCATCCCGATGAGGGAATAACTAATACTCAGTGCTGGGAAGACTACACTTTGCCCCCTTTTTGATGGGGATGGACTGCTCAATAATCCCATCATTCTGGCTTCCAGGTACCTTTGCTGGCTTGTTGTTTCCTATTGATGGTCTGAGTTTTCTGGTTTTTTTCTTGGCATTTTCTCCTAAGCCCATTGACTTGAATTTGCATCCAGTGAACCCAGCTTCACTATTGTTTGTATTGACTACCTCACTTCGCATAGGAATTTACCTTACAGAAGTCTCCTGCTATTATTGTTCATCCTTGATCTGTGCCCTAGTTAATGAGGCATCTTTGATTTTGATATAGAAGATTTAGAATGCTACAGTGTCAGAGGAACAGTTCTTACACAGTGTCTAGCGTCCAAGGGAACCTGTTAGCAATCTAAGAAATCTAATTTTAGAATAATATTAAAAAATAATCTACTGGACTCATGGTTAGAACAGAAGTCAGTTATGCTCACTCATTAAAACATTTTAGAGAGTGTTGTGATGCAGAAACTTATTTCTTTGAATAGATGAAGTAACAAAATTAATTGACAGCTTTGAGTTTGATGATTATTGAGGCACTGAAATATTGATGATCCTAAAAACTATAAGAGCTTTACTGCAACATGAATATGTCAGTCACATATTGCAGCAAAATCCTAATCTCTGCTAATGATTCTGTGGTTTAGCACATATTTTATTATATCATAATAGGGTTATACATTTCAGTTGTAGATTATGGAAAATGGAGATGGATTTTTCTCTTTAAGTTCATGGTCTCTCCATGAGTATTACTAGGGAGCAAAGGCCCTGAGACATAAAATAAATTGCCCAAATCACACTGTTTTCCACCAAAGAGGATTCAATGTTGGTTCCTGTTGCTTCATTTCCCCTTTGTTTGCTTTACTGCTTCTGTTTACTGATTTATAAGACAAGACAGACTTTATTGATGATTCTGTTTTATGATTCTACCATATTTAACCTGCTCTGTCGTATACTTGAGTCTATCAATTCTATGCAATTCACTTTCTCTTAGGTACTTTAGTTTTGCTTAAATATTAGTGCTGGGCAGGTGCAATGCAACTTTCTTAATTTTTTCACTGTTTTCAAATAAGATAACATATTCTTATTTAGAAAGAAGCAAATAGAATCACAGCAAAAAAAAGGAGGAAGAAAAATTATTTTAGACAATGTGGGTCTGGGTTCCTGTACTGAATCCTAAATTCAATTAATAATATGAAACTTACAAAGCCAGATTGACTACATTAACAAAGATTTGAAAGAAACACATTGTCTTATCAAAATGAATCTTTGGGAGAAAAGAGAAGAGTGGGTTATTTAGTTGCACAGTGGTTCTATTTAGATGTCTAGTTGTTGTTTGTTTTTTTTCATTCAAAAATGAGAGATGCACTCTCACCCTGAACTCTTGGTGAGGGTCTAGGCCCTGCCCTGGATGAAATGACAGACTGGACACCCCCACGGGGGGCCTCACTCTCCCTGGGGAAATGAGGGGATATTGGGGGGGCTTGGTGGGAGGGCACAGGAGGAGGGGAGGGAAATGGAGAGGGACCTGGAATTGACATGTGAAGCAACCTTGTTTCTAATTTAAATTTAAATTAAAAAAATATATAAAATAAAGAGAAGAGATTATGGAGATCATAACTATATCCTGTAATCGTGGATACTTGTTCATTTCTGTTTATCCTTGCCACCTTACCAATGCTTTCAGAGTGGAATCACAGATAATATCATTGAAATGTGGATCTTATGCTTTTTAGTTTTCCCCAGATATAATTTAATCTTTTTAGCTAGACTGCATGAATTTAGGGTTAGGTTACTGATATAAAATGTTTTATTTCTTTACTTCTTTCATCATAGCTTTTAGAACAGCTATGTTGTGTAGGCAACTTAGAGGAGAGACCCTTAACTTTCGTTTCAGACCAGAGAGTGAATTTTACCTTCACATCTGGTTGTCACCAGCATTAACCTAGCCAGCTACACCTTAGTTTTGTTGCCAAGTATTACGGACTCTTGTAGCATATTTTTAGTGAAATGACACTGTGCTGAAGGTATTCCCGTGGGGTTTAGAAAGACAACTATTACTATTGTTATGACTCAATAAGTATTTGTTTTATTTGGTGCTTTTACAGCTAGCATCCAGGATGCTTCTCTTGTATTTTATTAGAGCAGTTTTAGAAAATTGGAGCCGAATAAGGTGGAAGCTTGTGGAGTAGAACAGCATTGAGCTCCTCCATACATTTTAGTGACTGTTTATTGTGGAGGTGTCACATCTATTTGTCTTCTTCCCTTTGCAAAGAATTGATCCCATCCAGCACAGACTGTGTTTTCACTTCAGTATTTTTTACGGCCCTGTTTACTAAGCCAGTGAAATTTTTTATATTGCTTTCAATGAGCTAAGGAGAGAAGCCATTTGAAAATTGTGCTGGGGTTTCAGGAAACTAATACATAACCCCCCATGCACATACATACATACACACACACACACACACACACACACACACACACACACACACACTATCTGCCATGCAGAATATATCGAGAGAGGACTCAGAGGTCTTATATGAACAGAGACCAAAATTTTAAAATGTATCTCATATATTTTCAAAGGTCTAATCAAGTGGAAGAAGATGACTTTAGCTTTGTAATCTAAAACATTCATCAAAATTATTCTGATTGCCAAAACAAACAAAACAAAACGTGACACTGGAGGCAGTTTCCTTATACTTGCAGACATGCCTGTCTAGAGAAGCAATTCTCACAATGGATAAAAAGACATTCCTTCTCTTGCTCACTGATCTGAAGAAGGAGAGAAGTTGCTATCCTGACTGCTATGTCTTTCCCAAGCTCCATTTCTCCTTCTCAGAGTAAAGAATAAATAAAAGGCAGAAAAGGGATGTGTGCTCCTCTAGTTGAGAGCTCCTTAAAGTATGGTTCCCAGATAAGAAGTGACCATGTCAGTTTTAGCTGGGGACTTTTCTAAAGTCTTATCCAGACCTTCTGACTATACTGGTGGACCAATCATCTGGATTTAGCAAGACTTCTAGTTGATTTGACACGACTCAATTATGGAGATTAATGTTCTGATTCTTGGTCTTTCATTCTGACTGCACATTTCTATGTCTTAAGGAAACTTAAAAAAGACAGGGTTGGTCCCATAGGCAGGACAGCTTTGTGAATCAGAATCCATTTGGGAACACGTAAGTCTTGATAGCTCTAGAGATGATGTGAGTGTCCAGGTATGGCCTGGATATACTGTATTTCTTGTCTTATGGTAAGGTTTGAAGTGCTCTTGCTCCCTCACGGCTCCTGTGTTAAAGGCTTGGCCCATGCTTGATGGTATGGTTTCCAGGAGGTATTGGAACCTTTTCTAAATGTGACATAAGGGAAGGAATATATGCCACTGGGTCTGTGCCCTTGAGTGGGACATTGAGATTTTTACCTCCCTGCTCATCTTCTCTCTTTTTCTCCCTCTATCCATCCCCTACTCCCTTACACCCCCTCTTGGCCATAGTGACTTGAAGAGACCCTCCACTATGTGTGTCATGTCTTCATGTTCTGCCTTGCGACGTGACCAAAAGCAAGGGAACCGAATGACCATGGAATGGAATTTCTGAAGAGGAAAGAAGTGAGAAAACATAGACTTTTCCTCTTTTAAATTTTTTACAGGATATTTTATCATAACAATGGAAAACCAACTGATACACTTGTGGAAATAGGAATAGGTATAAAATAGCATAAAGAACATAAAGATAGTTTAACTGAAAGCTCTCATTTTCCTCCCTGTGTGGTTTCCTCTACCTCAGCAACTTGCATCATGTGAAGTAGCTAGAGATGTCATCTTGACCCCCTAGTGGGATCTGGAAACTAAGGGCTTTGTGGGATAATATGTTCCTCACACATAGGAAACTCAAACACCATTGCTGGCATCTCTAAGTCTGTCACTTTCAATGTAAACAGCATAGCTTTAAGACTGAAAACTCAAAGTAGCCAGAGATGACCTAACATAATTTAGAGGGATTCTTTCTCACATCTTTGAAAATAACCCAAATTTGGACTGTGTTGTCACTTGTTATTCCGCTTCAGAGGGCCAGTAACAAATTCATATGAGAAACAGACACTTTTTAACTTTGTAGGGTAGCTATGGATGCGAAAGAACAAAAGTTCTTGTTGGAAATAGTTTCTCTTGGAAGCACACCAAAAATTCTCTAAAGTAATACTGAAGACTTTATGGTGGGATTTCTTGCACATTGTTCTATGCATGTTAAATTCATGGGTACTTTCTGCCCTACAAAAATATGTGAATTCATTCAATACATTACTCCTTGTAGAATGATTAGGAAGTGAGGTCATATGAGTCTATACCTCCCAACATTCTGTTAGGCACAGGAAATATGCCTATATCAATATGCATGGGCCACCTCTAGAAAAGGATGGTTAATAGAAATATGTATGTTACAAATATGAGCCTCTATGTAATTCAAATTTTTCCATTTGTCACATCAAAAAAGTAAGAAAGCACATGTGAAATTAATTTCAATAGTATATTTTATTTTACCAGTGCATTGAAGACATTTTTGCTTCAATGCGTGACATTATAAAAATTTCTACTAAATTCTCAAAAGATGGTGCCTGTTTTATACTTTACAGCACTTCCCAATTCAGACTGGTCATATCTTGAGCACTTGATGGCTTTTGTAGCTTACTTGTTTTTTCTTTTTGTGCTGCTGGTACTCCAATCAAGGGAGTGAATAATGGACAAGTTCCCTATTGTGTAGTAATGGAAAGTTCTAGAACCTAGTTCAGCTGTTTTGTTTACCACTTATCATTCTTTTATTTCTTACCTCTTATCTTTCTCTTTGAGTTGTTGCTTTGTTTTATTTGGAACAAATAACATTTTAATACATGGATGTCTTTTTGTAAAAACAATCGAAATCTTTGCATCCCCCCCAGCAAGACAAGTTGGAGATTGCTTAGAAATGCTAATGTAAAAGACATTTGGGCTAATATATGAATGTGATTTTGCTGGCCGCAGCCCAGGAGTTCTAGAGATAGCATTTAGAACGGCAACCAGTCGTACATATAAGACATATCATAAGTAGACATATTTTGAGCTCAGACTAACATAATTTCCCTTTGGTACATGGAACTTAAAATAGTAGGCAATTAATATTTAGAAACCCTAGAATCCAAATTGCTAGTGGCATCATCCTTATGTTGAATGTGTAGGTCTTTGTGCTTTCCTACTTTACTATATTTGAACTATATTTTCTATGTACCTAACACTGTTTTACTCTCCTATGTCTTCACTATCTGCATGTTGAATAGGTGCCAATAAGAGCACACTGAATGTTTTCATGGCAACCTGTTCCCATATTTATGTTACATTCCATTTGGGAAGATAAACTGCCCCAGGAAGGGATACAGATATTATTGTGTCACTTGATATATTATAGCAATAATGGTTCAATAATTTCTTTTTTGATCGACTAATATTGACCTTTGAGAAGAAATAAGCAAATAAATATACTGACATCATAAGGAATGAACTGCATAGCCAGCAGCAAAGAAATAGAATGCTCTGTTTAAATCTTCATATACCTTTTGAACATTGATATCAATCTTTTGTTTTTAAATAATTTATTAAAACTTCACCATACAGAATTTGCAAGTAAAAGATCCTAACACACTCTATTATATCTTTGAGTTTCTGACTTCCAGCCATATTAATGTAGACTTTTGATGTTTCCACACTTCCATAAAACATCTCCTTAGGGCTGCATAATACATTATTCCATTTGTTCAAAGACCATATTAGATTTTTGATACAGTCAAAACCTTGTTCAACTACTTGACCTTACATTTGGTTTTCTTTCAGATTCATTATCAACATCTCAAAAGTGAAGAAAAGCATTCCTTGACACTATCAAAACATAGTTAATGCTAAAATAAGCTTACGTTTGGGAAAGAGATGTTTTAAAAAATAAGCTCTTAATGAAAAATATGAGTAGATGGGATTTTTTAGCCAAACATAACACTGGGTTCTTTAGTGCATTGCATTATAAAAGGGTATGAGAGAATGTGATGGCAGAGTAAGTGTTGAAAGCATATTGATAGCAATTAAGATGAAGCCAAGATTTAATTTTCTAGACAACCCTGAAGAAAAAATAGCTTCAGATTTGTGTTTCCCACTACTCCGGGGATCACGAACCCTATGGCAAATGGCTTGATTCTTGAGAAATGGAAAAGATTTTACTGTTTCTAAAATTTCAAAGAGTAGGCCACTAATGGATAAGTCAGCTGACACAACAGCTAGACAAGCTCTGTAGTGGCAAAAATTAGTGGGAAGAATGAAGGAAAGAAAAGAGAAAAGAGCAAAATAGAGGGAAAAAAGACAATAAGGAAGAAGAAAAGGGAAGAAATGAGGATACATACACAGAGATGGATTCAAGGTCAGAGGAAAGGAAAGGAAATTGTGGAGAGATCATGCTCATGGAGGGAAATGACTCAGCAATTGGATAAAGTGCTAGGAAATGGACTCTTGTTGAGTTGGCCCTTGACCTTCAGTCAATCATGTTTCTCTCAATACACTTTGAAAGGATGAACTATTTGGCCTGTATCCAGAGCTGCTTCTTGGCTGATCATTGTTTAGCTCTTAGAAATACTTCACTCAAGGAAGTTCAGGATAATCTCCTCAACACTGATTACTGCCCAAGCAGTCATCTCTATGATTAGCAATATTAATTGGAGGTCTAAATCAAAGAAAACCAGAAGTTATCTTTACCTATATTTTAATGGTTTCTCATTCTGATTAAAAAAAAACTGATGGCAGTACAATGTTAAATGAATATTGATAGCTGTAGCCTACTTTGTAAGGTGAGAGGTCACCTTTAACTGTCTTTAGGATCAGACCTAAAGATGGTTGTTTTTCTGATGTCAGTGCTGTGGTGATATCTGAGTAATGGTTCATTGCAAAGTTCCTGCAAATTATTCTGGCAATAGACATTGGAGTAGCAGGTTGACTTTCTCCTCCTCATGCTGCTGGGTCCAATTTTCCTTTCAGATTTCTTTGGCCGACTTTGGAATCCCTTAAGTAAACTCTGACACTTGCTGTCCTCGGGAGAGGTTGGTATCTTCAAGATATCTGACTTATATGTTTGAAAATTTTAATTTCCTGACTCTGCTGCTTTGGTTGAATAAGATGAAGGTGATTGAATTTGGGGGATATATACAGTGATAATTTTGGCACTCACGTATTTATTGTATGGACATCAGGTGGATTCTAACCATAAGTAGTTTCTGTCCTACTTGAATATCTTTTAATAAACTCTACCCATATTCATTGCACAGTTAGAAAAGGGATTTTGGGCTTAACTCCATGAAGAATATAAGTCTAAGTGAGTTGTTCACCAGCAGACAATGGCACAGCAATAGAGCTGTGGTTTAGTATGGAATTTCTGACTCAGTTTTGGTTTTTGTAAAGCAGGTTACCATCTGTCATTTACTTCATTAACTTACATGTTTTTCAAGCATATTCTGGAGGCTATGGAAAAGATTAGATAATTTTAAAATAATGACTAGTAGACTAGTGGTGAGCCTTCAGTATATAATTTAATAATTGTTTTTCACCCCCTGGGATATGACTTGCATCTTATAAGGCTATTTTAACTCCACTTGGTTGCAATTCCAGATTTCCTTATCTAGTTTCTGAGCCTACTGATTGTAAGTGAGAAGTTATGTATTGATATAGAGAGGCCTGTTATAGAGAAGGGTGGTGATAATTATGAGACCTTAGAGATGAAAGCCCAAAACAACAAAATTATAAAGTGATATATGTGTGTGACTTGGAACAGGGGCCAAAACAGCCTACAGGCACCATCTAGTTTAGGAGTAAAAAAAGGTTATTTACTCAACAGCCTTGAGGATGAATTGTCACAATATCCATTGATCAACAGTCTGACTTATTCTTGTAGTGTGGTCTGCAGAATAATGAGCTCTGTCTGCTCGTCATGCTTTTCACCTGTGGTTTTAGGACGATATTTACACAAATACAAATCAAGGTTAATGTTTGTCCTTTTGTTTTGCTTTTGAGATAGGATCCTGTCTCAGGTTCCAGACTATTTTGTGTCACCATACCTGGCAAAAAGTTCAGGTTTAATTCTTTCTCCATATTTAAGACACATCTTTCAGTGACTTCATTTCCAGTGAGAGATATGCTGTCTTCCTTATCTTTGTTCTTCTGTGGATAATATTATTTCCACAGTCATTGGCTCCTCTTTTGTTTTCCATTTTATCATTTTTTGTCCTCTGTAAAAGGAGTTCTTTTTATTATATTTTTTATTTAAATTAGAAACAATCTTATTTTATGTATCAATCCCAGTTCCCTCTTCCTCCCATCCTCCCATGCCCCCCACTGACTACCTTAAATGCCATCCTAGAGCCTTCATCCAGTAGCTGATGGAAGCAGAAACAGTGATCCACAGCTAAGCACTGAGCCAAACTCCTAGAATACAGTTTATCATTTGCTTTATGCAGCTTAGTTATGCAAGTTAGTTTCTTGGTCTAGTTTCATGATGAACTTTTGCTTTGGGCTTGTTGAACTTTTGTGAACTATCAGTGTGATAGTTTTCTGCTCAGAGCTTGACTACATGCATGTTAGATCACCCAAAGTTGTCTCTGTGTTAAATTGTATATCATTTCTACTGTCCTCATTCAAACTTAGCAGCGTTTTCTTTTGTAATGTTTTAGTTGCTGTTACTTTCATATTGTATGTTTTTATGATGTTGCATAATGAATCAAGAGCCTGATACAGCAAGCTATAACCTAACCCATTGTATATGTTTTAACACCAAGAAAAAGTCAAATACTAATTTTAAGGTTTCAATCTGAGCTTTTCTTTTGATAATATTTCCTCTACTTAACTTTTAAAGTATACTTAGTTCTTCACCATTGTTGTTTAGGTCATTTATGTTTTATATTTATTGTATTTATACACACACACACATGCATACTCACACCTTCCTTTAAAGATGTGTTAAATGGAAACAGAGCTACATTTGCCAGGATTTAGTTACTCTTTAATACATAGACAAGACCCTCACAAGTTTTTATATAATATTCTGTGAAGAATATTTTACTTTTTTGTAGAAAAAGAGATTAGTCTCATCCCTGTGTAAGTACATAGTATTAGCCCTTCTAATTTGTGTGGGGATTACTTGCTCTTATCTCAGGTTATTTCCTTACACAATTACACAGATCAATATTTTGCTGAAAACTAGAAAAATTCAATGCCTACTCAGACCACAGGATGCCTACATATTTGACTGAACAGTGTCTTGGGTATGCCTGCCAGAGTGTTTCTAGGTGAAATCAATAGTTGGGCCGGTGAACTAAACAGAGCAGATTGTCCTCTCACGTGAGTGGACTGAAGGACCAAATCCAACACAGAGACACACTAACAGGGAACTCTCCCCACTTGACTGCTAGGGATGAAGCTAGATGTCCTCTGCCTTTAGACTTGAGTGCTTCTTCTGGTATGTTTAGGATTTTGACCTTCAGATGACATACTATGTTTGATTGGGCCTCTAGGTTGCTGAATGTAGATCTGGAAACGTCTAATACCACATAGTTACATGAATTAATTATTTATTAGTCTGTCTTCCCCACCCCCTCCCTGTCTCTCTCCTCATCTGGTATATTATTATGACACAGGCACAGATAAATTACTTTTCAATTGCACCTCCTAGTTCTCTAGATACCTTGGTTTCCCCACCTTTGGTCCCATGTCTGCAAATCATGGAGTCTGTTAAAATCTACCTGGGTTCCACCTCAATTCATCAGACTCAGAATTTTCTTTTAGCTGTGAGGTAGGCAATTGTAAGGCTCATTTCACCTGTTTATTATCTCTTACAGGTTATTATTATTTCTTGATTTTCTCCATGGTCTAAAACTTGTTTTGTGTAATTTTTCTGAGATTTTGGTTGCTTTAGGTAGGAGAACAGACCTTTTTCATCTTGGCAAGAATTGGAAAACTCACATTCCTTTCCTGACTTATAATTAGAGGTCTGATAATAACAAAAATATTTCATTAAAATGCAGAACTTAGAGAGACAAGACCACTTAATATAGTTTATAAACTATCTTCATTCTAGTCAAGAGGAAAAAATAAGTATACAGAATGGTATAATCAAAACTATCTTGAAAGCTTTGCTCTATGCAGAAAACATATTCTGAGAGGAATTAGAGGAAGAAATTGACATTGGCAACAACACAGTTATAGTACTTAGGAAATTAATATAGGATTCATTCTGCTTAACAAACAGAACTTACTGGGATGGCTATTGAGGGCAAGAAAGCATTACTATAAAACACACCACTTGGGTGACTGCACCTCTGTAGGTATGTGTGCAGCATTCTTCTAGGCAAAAAGCTCTGGATCCATTCTCTTTGAGGTATGTACGTGGACATGGTGTTTGGAGTGTTTGTTATTTCTTACTATAATGTTGAAGCTTTACAGATAGAGGGATGGTTTAACAGTTAAAGAAATGCAGAAGACTTAGGCGTGGTTCTCAGTACCCACAGCATGGCTCAAAACTGGAACTCCAGTTCCAGAGCATCTTATGCCCTCTTTTAGGCACTGCATTTGATGCACATAAGTGCGCAAAACATGCAGCAAAACATACCTATGCATAAAATAAAAATAAGCCACTTAAAAAAATAAGGCTTTATTAGTCTCTGCTTTTGATTTGCACCCAGTAACCTCTACAGATTTCAGCTGTGCCCTTTCTCTCAATGCTTTATCCTGCATTAGTAGTGAGAATATATGTAAAGTGAAAGCCAGAAACTGACATATGGTGATTTCTTGAATTCATCAGTGGATACACTAGTATTTGAATTCAGATGGAAGAAGAGAAGACAATTGTTATGCTTTGAAGTGATTTTTAGGTGCTATTGAGATATATTTTCATAGATTCTTTGCTCTATATGCAGCTAGGTTTACCTGATTCTATAAAACTCAACTAAATAATGATAATTCTATCAATTCACATGTTACAAAATACATAATGCAACCTTATATTTGGACATGCCCCCAATCTACTTGAATGAAGATCAAGAAGTGTACTATAACTATTAACATAGAAACAAAGTCAAATAAATGTGAGCTACTCGTGAAGATTATTTAATTATTGCTATCTGGTATAGACATGTTGAATTTGTAATTCTGTGAGTATAGGGAATGTGTATTTATTCTTTATTTTAGTTCAGAAACTATCAGTAAATACATGTACAATGAGCAAACACTTTTGTGACTTATGGACACATCAAAGCAGCATGTTAACACTGGTATTATTTGTGGAAAGAAACACTAAATACAATTTCTAAATACTGCTAAGGAGAAATACTCACAACATAATTTTGAGGGTCCAATGAGAAAGGAAAACACATGATACCTTGTTACAAACTAATATGTCATTTTAAGGTGATGGCAGTAGAACATTAGCCAAGTCCCTTGTTCTACATCACCACAGAGAACTACACCTGCTAACTCATCCCCATTTAGAAACTATAAGAATGATACATTCAATTTTAACTGCAAAGAACAAAAGAACCTCCAAATTGTATAATACTACACAGATTTTGAAACTGCCTATTATTGGGCAACCTAATATTTCATTCAAAGAACAGTAGGTTGATCCATATAAAAATTGTTGTTGTTTTTTATATAGATTTGTTGCTCTATTGATATAATTAGATGTGCTATACTTAATACTATGACTATGCAAAGTATTCAGAGGTCTTAGACTTTTGAAAGCAAAAAAATAATAATAATCTAATTGTGATTCATGTGGAGAAGAATCAAAGTTCTATTTCACTGCAGATTGACTATTGCCATAGATAGCTGAGCATCTTGAAGCAGTCACATTCCTTTCATTCTGGCATTTTGTATTCTATCAACCTAAGCACAAAAATATAAAGCCTTATACTTAAAGATACTGTAACTGAGAGAATTAGCTTGGTCATAAGAAATTAGGCTCCTTGAAATATTCCACGTGAAAGGTCTTTGCTACGGGGAGCTGAACAATTTTCTCAAGACACATCATTTTTCATTGTGTGCTTTGCTTGTA